TAACTAACTTTATTTTGTAGGTAATATATTCAACAATAATTTTGTATTTATCTTATGTAATTTTAAGGTATAGAGGATTGAGTATGCAATAGAAATAAGACATGAGCAAGTGTTTCTTGGAGTTGGGGGCTGAAACCTAGCATGGAAGAGGACTAAAAGTTGATTTTTTTTATGTTTCATATCTCAATTCTAAATTGTTTATTTTTTGTATAGACTTGTGATGGAGCTGTATACGTGAAACACTTAATCATCTTCTTTTTGCTTTTTATGGATATTTTGCTAACCCCCGTGGCACTCAACATCTTCTTCTTATTTTATTTGGTGTGTTTATTTTATTGTGAATGTGTGATATATTTGAATGAGTGAGATATTTTTTGCCTTCCTTACTATTTGTGGATTGTCTAAAGTTACATATACGATCGAGGAGGCTCATAAGGTAATTTTTTTTATAAATTTTCAATAACTTGAAATATTTAATCCTAAAATTTATAGACTTGCAATGACCCATGATCAAAATTTTATAATCAAAATTTTATATTCATGCAATGACCCATGATCAAATTTTAAATGACTATCATTACATAGTTATAAACCAAGTCGTGCTAATAAGACCCTCACACTAAGGGTATATATTGAAATCATCATATCATGTCCTTGTGAAGTATACTTGCTTCTCCTATCAAACTAGACACGTGATTTATATGAACTTAAGTGGTTTGTCTTGAACATTTAGGGTGTTTGGAGAGGATGTTGACCAAGTTATGATTATAAGCCCATATAGAATAATTTTGACCCTTATAATCAACATTATTTATTTCTCATCATTCCATAAGCATCTTGTCAATCTTTGACAAAAATAAGTCATATTCTTGTCTTTTCTATCTAGATAGAGTCGTGTGATTCTAAGATGGCCCACCTTTTGAGTTTGAGTTTATAAAGTCTTTTTGAATGAAATAGTGCATGGATTACTTTTTAAAAAAAAAAATTAGTGTTGGATCAAGTACCTTCACAACTAAGTGGATTTAGGATTCAATAAGTCTTGATTATGGATCCATGAAATCTTGATTAAAATACACCTATCAATCTCTATAATTCCTCACCTATACTTTTGACATACTCCCTTTGGGTCCATTCTTTTTTTTTTTGATAAATTTATTAATGTAACTTTATAGGTCTCTATTTATTGATAAGTTGCTTCCCATTAAGATATGGTGACTCAACCTCTGTTCTATGGCCTGATTTGATTTGTATACATTGAGATTTCCTTACTAAAGTGATGGTAAGACGCATTTAATCAAGAGATTTTTTAGGTATCCCTTAAAATGTATTTAACCAAAGGAATATTGCTTTCAAGGTTTTTTCCTTTTCTTGATCTTCTCCACTCATTTTGGTGATTTACGAAAGGAGGTTATCTGAAAGGAGAATTACAAAATAACACTTGAAGAGCTGAGAACACTAAATTAAATTAAAAAAAAAATAGCAAAAAATAATAGCAGTCATCAACCTTACATACAAAAAAGTATGCATCAATGGTCTGCATAATCCTTAGATATGATGAGGAGCATCAACATCATACATTGTCCTTACAAGAGATAACATGCAATAAAGTTATCAAGTGATGATGATTGGATGATCATAGCCAAGTGATGGTTATTTTGTAACTTTTGTTAGGTGGTAGTGGTCTAATTATCAAAGTTGGATGATAGAAATTAGAATATTATAGTTGCAAAATTGGGGTTAGCTGACCTTAATCAATCAATGATGATGCCATGATCTAATGGTAGTGGACTTGCGATAGGAGTATAATGATTATAAATAGATGATAACAATCTGATTGTGATAGTTGAGTGGTGGTGATCACTACAGAAATTAAGTCTATTTTTGACAGCGAAACTCTATCAGTTAATACTATAAAACTATTGGTTAATATATTTCAAACAGATTAGCGATGGTTTATTAGGTGTCGATAAATTATTTCTCTGTAATTGGAAAAGTGATGGATTTATCGTTGGCTTTTATCTTCCAACGGTTTACAGACGCGCTATGACTGTCGATGTTAGATGAAATGCAAATTATTGGTATGCCATTGGTATCTATCAGAACTCATAACTGACGGTTCAGAAGTGATCGGTCCTGAAAGAGGGTGACCAATGGTAATATATCTATAAGCCATTGGTATGAACTGACGGCTTGAATCGTTGGTAAACTATTGCATAAGACGAAAGTTACAATTGCTTGTGGTTTTATGGGCCATCTGAATGACCTTCATTCCATCGATAGCCATCAAAGGGCCATAGGTTTTTGGTCGGTATACTAACCAAAGGAAATTAGTTGTCGGTTTACATGATAAAATTATTAAAAACCATTGGATTTTAGTTTAAAAGCCATCAAGAATCTATAAAACTAGAAAAATAAATAAATATTCTTCTTCATCATTATAATTTTTACACCTACAGTTGTAACACATGCAAATTCTTTGTGATATGACACACAACACAATTTACCTTAATTGTAAGGCTTTAAGTGATTCCCTTAATTGTGAGATATTTTGTTTCAATATTTGAGTGTTT